ATATGTCAAGGACTTTCATCACTCTGCCACCTAAAAGCTTCTGACTAACATCCAAGAGAAGGTACTTAACTTCTAAGGATATTTAACTCAATTAATGGAAAAAATAAAATTATAAGTTTAACAAATAGGAAGTGAAGTCAAAAATCAAGAAAGTCTTCAATATGCTTCATAAACATTCTCAATTCTATAAGTGAAGAAGTAAAAATCATTAGCATCAATTATAAACAATAGTACTTCACCATGATGCTTTGTTTAACTATACCAATGGCAAAAAGTGACTCAGAAAACTTCTTTACCCTCAGTGTGAAAAAGGGCTTAGACAAATTCTATACTAAAGAAAAAAGTGGTACTGTATAACTAGAGATATACTTAAGATATAAAGTTCAATGAGCTTGTGTACACTTAATGTGTCTTTTTCCTGACTCAAAAAAAGCCGTTACTAAATATCCAATGAGTCACAATCATTTGGCATATTTGAAAACAGTATCTACATGATGTTATGGCTGTTACTGTATTTAACTTATATTTCAAGAGATATGTTTGGATCCAAAAACAAATTTCCTTAAAATAACTGATGGCAAGAAAAAGCAACTCATACTCAACCAACATTTTACCACAGAAAAAAAAGCTCTATCCTTGCTCCTATTCAATTTGACAATAATTTGTAAATACACATACACACACCAAAAAAAGTTTATCAAATCAGAGATCACTGAAAACTGAAAGAGATAATGAATAGTGAGCTAAATAGTGACCAAATGAGGATTCAATACACTTTCCAGCTACGTAGAATAAAGGATCAAAACTAACACGATAACATTTAACAAACATAAAGTCCTGTTGTGAGGTTAAAAAAATAAACGCTAGAAGGGATAGAACGGAAAGACAGGCAATCACTTGAGAAAAAAACAGTATTAAAAAATTAACATACTCTGGCACTGCATTACTTAATGTGTGCTTTTTAGTAATACACATTACTAAATGTGTATTGCTTACAGCAATAAATACTCTCCTTTTTGTCTTTGCTGATGAGCCTACTACAGCTCCAGCACTAAGTTTCTGGGCACCATCCTCCAAGGGAAGAATTAACAAACTAGAGTTTCACTAGAAGATGAATAAGATTTTCATTTACTCATCTAACACACTTACATAGTATTTACTATATTTCAGGGACCATTCGAAGCACTTTATAAACCATGTCATATGAAGAATGGATACAGAAGTTAGGGACATTTAACCTGAAGATAAGGAGAACATGATAGCTCTTGTCAAATATCTAAAGAGCTATCATGTGAACGAGGTAGCCCATTTATCTGTGTCATTACATAAAAAACGAACAGCACAAACAAGTGTGAGAGATTTGGGCTCTACAGAAAAACTCTACGAGCTGCCCAATGGCAGAATCTCTCTACAGGGCTACTACAAGGACTAAATAAGGAAATACATATTAAAGAACTTTGCTGTACACTGATACATACACATTATTAGAATTGACTTCTTTGTAAGATAGTGGGTCCTGATCAATAGAAATATTTACAAAGAGGCTGATTATGGGCTTTGGAGTCCTAGCTTTGTAACTTATACTAAATTACCAGCTTTGTAACTTATACTAATATGCAACGTCAGCAAAGTTTTCCTTGCCTCTCTAGGCTTCATTTTTCTCATCTTTAAAATAAACTATCTGCTTTGCAGGGTTATTGTGAGAATTAAATGTGACAATGTGTGCAAACACTTAGCATATTACCGACACACTCAATAAATTGTATCTATGATGATCATCATCATCATGATCACAAAGTTGCGGAAGGAATCCCCACAGTGAATATAAAACTAGCTATGTGATCTGATGTGGTATGATTGTATGGCTCTGCTATGCACCTGTATGAGTATATGATTTGCTATGCACTTATCATGTTATAACAATCCAAATATAATAAACAGCTTGTTGGGGGTGACTTAAAAAGCACTTACTGTTTTGTAATTTGAAAGGAAAAATATTCTTAAAATCTAACTAAAGTATCCAGGTTAGTAAAATATCAACAGTAAATGTAATGTAATATAACAGGAAAATTATGCAGCTAGAGGGGGAAAAAGGAATTAAGTACACATTACATAGAAGCTACTCTTCCTAGGAGACATCACTACAGGAGATGAGAACATGTATTGCAGGGAAAAAAGCAATTACACTTTCCACAGGTGTGTGAACCACCAGTTACATTCATCAGAAATATCAACAATAAAAGGGCAGCTAAGCACATGAAAACATTTGGTATATCAAGGCAATTTAAAAAGTGAATTTCAGTGGCTAAGGATAAGAGTGCAAGGGTATTTAGGATTCTAATTACTTTGAACAGAATTTGTACTTTAACAAACCAACTCCTAAATGTTGGATTTCAGAATACAGACGCCCAATAATCCTGCAATTCAGAACCTTCTGTGACCATCAAGAAAATTAGTTCTAACATACCATACTACGGTACTTTGTCAGTCATACTCCTCTCTTCTTTCAAAGGGAATTAACTGTCAAAGGAACCTTTTATTTCTTTTCAGGGATATTTCAAGGTACTGTAACTCTATATTTTAAAGGCAATGGCCATAAGACAAAACATAAATGTAGCTACTATGAAAGCCAAATCTGAAAAACGTCCTAATAATGACTAATAACCCAAAGCTACATCTCCCACTAAAAACTGTTTCCCAAAGAGTCAGAATATAATTACCATCAACATAATACGCTTGTTGCAACAATAGTAAAGTGATTAAATAAATTAAATGTAGAAATGAAAAAACTTGTTGCGGCTTTCAGGAACTTTTTTGGGGATTTGATTTATGATAAATGACATGTAGTGTTATTGTTACAATATTGTAAATTCAGGTTTCAAGTGCAGTTGTTAGAGAATTATACAAGCCACAGAAATCTTACCCATTTTTTTAATCTCAATTTTTGCCCTAATTTTAGATAAGAAGCCTAGAGTCCAATGGAAGTAACAGAGCTTATTCCACAGGTAAGGATTTCATTAATGTACTATATTATTTTGAGCACAGTTGAGTGTGTTCTAACTGAATATATACAATAGTCGTGTTCAGTTAAAAGCAGAGCTATCAAGAATATTTGCCAACTATCCAGTTTAAAGTGGCCTATCTATTAAATTTTGAAAATATCAGTGTTTACATTAGTTTTCATTACTAAATTCACTGTTGTTTAAAAATCAACTCAATCACATTGTTTTACAACTAAAGATACCGAAAACAATTCAGCTGACGAGTTGATAAAGCAAAAAGTAGAAATACAGTCCTTGAGTAATAAATACTATATTTTGCCATACAGGCTATGATGAAGTTACTATGAAAAATCATAGTACTATTTTTAGTCACAGTCATCAAGATGAAACATTACTATTAGCAATTATCTATGTAAAACAAGCAAAAAACTCTAACAAAATTTTAGCTACTCAGCCATCACCTTACTTGCTCTAGGTATCAAATGCCAACAAATTCGTCCTGCGTAGCTGTCAGAAATCAAAGCATTCTATATTCCATTTTAAATGCAAATTGTAGACACTTCGTATCAAACTAAGTTTCCTAAAAGCAGGAAAAAAAGAAACAGACAACCTGCCAGCGGGTAGAAATCACAAGTTGCAGTCAAGTTGGAATCTGTACCTGGGTAATTAATGAAGGGAGGTGGGCAATTTCTAAGCTCAAAATTTAAGATCTCAAGGTGGGAGCAGGGGAGAGAAAGAAAAGAAATATAGTTCCATAAACAAAGGAAAAAGTCCAGATTGGATGAGAGGCAACATAAAACTTCTTATAGTCAAGAATCAACACATGGAAGACCTGTCTCAAAGATAAACAAAACAGCTTGTCAAGGAAACTTTGAAGTGGGCAAGGAGGAAACATTCCTTTGCACCCACAAGAACCAATCCCCTGACCACTGGCATGCTATTACTGAGTTGGTCATGATTTACGGGCACTTGGCCCGGATGATGGGCAAAGGAGAGGAAAGAAGGGTCTGCTGGAAGGGAGCCTAAGATTCCCGAGGCCCGGGGAGCACCCCCTGGGCTCGGGGAAGGAGAGGTGGAGAGGGGCGAGCACTCCTCACCGTGATTATCTTTCTGCCCGATATTGTGCGTGCGGATGAGGGAGGACAGTCTCCTCACATCCCCCTTGAAGACGCACTCGTGCACCGGGTAGTGAGCGGGGCAAGTGCCTCCATCTGCGACGACAGCGAGGGGGCTGGTGCCCGCTAGGAGAGCGGGGGACTGGGAGGCGGCGGTCACAGCGGAATTGTGCAGCGGCAGGGCCGGGGCGCCGGGGGCAGTGGAGGCGGCCGGAGCTGTCTTCAGCTGCAGCCGGTGGTGATGGTTACTGAAGATCTTATGACAGGCTCTGCCGCCCTTGCCGCCGCCGCCGGTGCCAATCCTGCCTCCGGTAAAGGTGCCGCCGAGGGCAGCCGCCGCTTCCTCATCGCCCGGCTCCAGCAGGTCCCCTTCTTCTTTGCTGGGCTTGTGGTCCCTCCGCAGGGAGCGGATCTTCTCCCCGGTCATCGCCGCCAGGGGCAGAGAGGGGGTCCGCGAGGCTCCCCGCCGGCGACGGAGCGGGCGCTGCGGCGGCACAAGGCGATTAGAGCGGCGGCCAGGCGCCTCCGGCGCAGCATGAACTCCCAGAGCGCCCCCGAGCCCGGGACAAACGCATCTCCCGGAGGAAGAGGAGCCGGCTCTCGCCTAGGCACGAAGGGACGCGCGCTCGCTGGGGGGAGCTAGAGCTCAGGCGCCCACGACACCACGATCCTTGTCCCCGCCGCCACAGCTGCCGCCACTGCCTCACACCAGAAAACAGGGCACGGCCATCTTCCCCCGGCTTCTCTCGCGAGAGCTGCCCCGGGAGGGAGGAAGGCGGAAACACCGCGATAAGTGAGCTGCCCGCTCCCTCCCTCGCGTCTTCTATTCCAGGGAGAAGCCGGGCGCCGGCGCCGGCGCCTGCGAGACGGCGTGTGTCCGCGCCCAGTGGGGGTGCTGAGCTGGAAAACCGAGACCCGGCCCTCCGGGTGGCCGCGCTCCTTGTGGGCGGTCTGAAACCTTAGCCTGCGTTTGGGATGTTCGATGCACGGTATAAACAAGGACTTAGACGCTCGGGCCTCTGGGCCTCCCGCAGAGGAGTGCAGACTGACGCCACTGCACGCAGGATGTGATGTCACGGAATGCACAGGACGCTCATTCAATAAACATTTACCAAGCGTCTACTTCGTGCCGTACACCGAGCTAGTAGATTTACAAAAAGCCACCCTTGGCTCCAAGGAGCTCAGTAGAGGAGGAAAGATAGTCGAACAATTGGCTCCGATATTTAACTGCGCGACGAATGAAGTGGGTGAGGGGAGCAGGGTTGCTCAAAAAAGGGAGAAGCAAATTTTAGTGTTGGAGTGTCAGAAAAGTCACCATAAAGAGTTTAGGGGCTGATCTTGGAAAACAGGCTCTTCAGTAGACTGGGAGAGCAAAAGGTCACTCAAATATTTGTTGGATGAATAAATTTCAGGCAAGCGTCGAAGTATGGAAGTGGACGCAGAAGGATGGCAAATAATTGTGTAACTGGACTAGTTCATGGCCGACCTCGACCCAGCGTCAAATTCTAAAGAAACGTAAATCTGACATCCATAAAGCCTTGACAAAATAACTAAAGCTGTGGGAAACCGAAAGAGAGGGAGTTAGCAAAACGCTCTAAAGATCTTAGCCCATTTATCTCTCCCAAGTCCCTTTTACTCTGACAGCTGCTTCTCTCAAGTCTCTGCTCTCTTAAACTGACCCTATTACCACCTCCATTCCCCCCACAAAAAAAATTACTCTGTGGGAACTGGCCTCTCTCCACCCTCCCTTGCCACTCAGGTTTTCACCTCCCATCTTCTTTCAAATCTATTCAAATCAATCCCTTCCTTCCCGTCGTCCTTTTCTTTCTGTTTTTGTGGGAGTAGGGGTGGTGCCAATTATGTTCAAACATTACCCAATTAGCACGTCAAAGGATCCTACTCAGAAAGCAAGAGAGACTGAACACATGTATACAAACACGTTTTGTTCTTCCACAATAGCCAATATTTATTGTTAACTCTAAACCAGGCAGTATGCTTGGCAGTTTATATGCTATTATCTCCTTGTGATAAGAATTATTTTTCATCATCATTTGACGGTTGAAAAAACTTACCCAATGCCTCAAAGCTGGAATGTAGCACAGTCAGGTCTGACTGCAGGGCTAGTGAAACAGAAAGAGGCCAGATCTTGCAGGACTTTGTATGTCATGTTCAAAGTTTTGACTTTATCCTACATGAAATGGATAGCCTTTTAGGGATGTTGGACAGGAGAATAGCGTGATGAGATTTGCCTTTTAGAAAAGTCACTCACTCACTCATACTTTAGAAAAGTATGTATCAAGAATAGATTACAAGGGGGCAACTCCTGAGACAAGGAAACTGAGAGATGACTGCATACATCAAATATTAATAATGATACGTGTGTTATATGCATGTAAAAATCTGGTAGAATATATACATCACTCGGTGAACAGTGGTTATCTCTGGAAGATAGGATTGCTAAATCATATATTCCTTGCATTGTTTGAATTTCTTTTTACAAAGAGAATTACTTTTCAATAATCAGAAAAAATAATGAATTAATTTTTAAAAGATGCATGCAGTAATTCAGGTGATGAGAGATTATGACAGCATGAACCAAGTTAGTAAGAGTGAGTCTGGAGAAGGTTGAAGAGTTTAAAAAAAGAAATGAGAGTTCCATTTTGGTATATTGAAGGTTCTTTTTGCTCACCCGGGAGTTAGATGGTATACACTTTGGATATTTGGAAATGAACCTTAGGGCACGGAGATCTGGGTTAAGATTCAGGAGTCATCACTACACAGTAACTGATGCCGCAGAAGTCATTGAGTTCCCCAAGGAAGAGTGTGTAGAGTGAGAGATTAAGACCCAGCCTAGAACAAAACCTTGAAAAAACCCATTTATGAAGAATGTGTATAGGGAGAGTGGCCAGCATTCTATTATTATCAAAAACCTACACCAAATAGTCTACCATTCTATCTATGATGTGTCTTATCACTGGATGCAGAATTCAAAAGTACCTTATTATTGGCTGCCACCCTCAGACAGATGTAGAAACTCTGAAGTGTCCCCCCAGTAAAATCAAACACTGTAGACATCAAAAATAATATTGGGCCTTACTTTTAAGGGCTCCACAGTATAATAGGGAAAAAATGATATAGAAATGTAAGATTACACTGTGAAAAAAAAACAATCAAAATTATATGAGAACCTGATATAATATGCAAGAGGAAGTTATTAATTCTGTCTGGAGGAAATGGCAGTCAGGTGATCAGGAAATCTTTCTGGAGGAGGTAATGTCCGAACTAGGTTTTAAAGAATGTGTAGGAGTTGGCTAATTAGGTAAAGGGAAAAAGATATTACAGGTAATAATAATTACAATAATAATAATAGCTATCATTTATTGAGAGCTTACCATGTGTTAGGCATTGATCCAAGTAAGTTTCAATAACGATTTGATTTAATCCCCACAACAACTCTGTAAGGTACTTACTGTCCCCATTTTACAGATGAGGCAACTGTGGCACAGGAGGGGATCATCCAGCTGATGAGTAGAGATAAAGAGAATAGTATGTATAAATATAGGATAATATCTGAGAATCATTGGAGCATAGTATGTGACAGGAAAAGTGCTGGTAAATGAGACTAGAAAGGAAAGTTGGGGCTAAATTACAAAAGCAACTGTGTGAAACTTGGACTATGTATGGTAGGCAATGGGAGGTTGTAAAGGATTTCATACACAGTTAAGACAGAATCACATTTCATCCCCATAATGTAAAATCAAGCTATATCCCAAAGATATGAGATTTTGCCAATCTCTCCAGCTTTGCCTCCTACCACAATGCCAAATTTATTCTTCATTCTAACCAAAGCAATTTGCTGACAGTCCTTTATCCTCTCTCATGCCTCCATGCCTTTGCACATGCTGTTCCATGGCCCAAACTCATTTCTGTTTCATTCACCTAGAAACCTCCTTCATCTATCAAGAATTAGTTCAAATTTTATCTCTTCTTAGCACAAGGGTTTTTGTTTTTTTTTAAGTTGGCATAGAATTCAGGGGTCCAGGAAATTACGTCGAACTAAACCTCTAAATAAAATTTAGCACATCCTTCTCTTATGAAAGTAGGCCACAAACCACAATAGCATTAGCAGTACCTATGCCTTTGCAACCAAAGAAACCACAGATATTTTCATATCACATTAAGTTGCTGCAGATAACTCAAAATGTCATTTACATTCATCACTACCTCAAAATTATGTTAATAATTACACCTACTACCAGATATTGTTCTTCAGTGAGTTAATAAAAAAGCACCCATATTACTATAGCACAAATTTGTTTTAAAAAAATATTTTGATAGCTATTTCAATACACTAAATTTCCTTTATAATGCAAAGTACTCTGTGTACTTAAAAACTTTGTTCTGAAAATGGGTCCCTAGGCTTCACCATACTGCCAAAGAGGTCCACGGCACAGAAACAAAAGTTAGTAACTCCTTGTTAGGAGTCTTTAATGACACCTTCCATTTCCTCCCCTTGTCTCTTATCTAACACTCTACCATTCTGAATTAGATATCCTTCCTTTACCTTCTTTGTGATTTCCCATTTTAACTTTTGCTTGCCTCTTTGATATTCTTATCTGCCTCCTCAGCTAGTCCTTTGAGCTCTCTGAGTACTGAAACTATGTTTATCACTACTGTATGCACAGTGCCTTTCAGATAGTGAAATAGTGAATGCTTAGTATTAATAATAAACAGTTGTTGAATTACTCAATTAGTTAGAACATAGAACCCCAAAGTATCTAAATGTACCAAGATAATTGTAAACTAAGTGACGAGACACTAAATAAACTTCTTAAATAACCTCAATCTGACTACACTAAAGTTGACTACTTCTATTTTGGTTTCTTATATGAGGCCCAAGAGTAAATACGTCATTTTGGATTACTTTTAATTTACAAATAATAGTAAATTCAATTGAAACTGGCTTAAATTAAAGGCATTTATTGGGTTACGTAACAGGAAGGTGCAGAGAGACTTCAAGAGTGGCCTCTCTAAACTGTATGTCAGCATCTCAGGATTCTTAGCGTGCCTCTTCCTATTTGGAGCATCCTTCAAAGGCCAGCTTCCTCAAGGACACAAGATGGCTCCCAGTAGTAATAAGGACCATGTGCTTCCTCCTTCAGGTCCAGAAGGAGAGCCTGGGATCACAGAAGTCTGGTGCTTGACATTCATAAGATGCCCTGTCCAATCCCTGTGTCAAGGAGGATATTGATTGGCTCAGGCCTGGGTTACCTGGACAAATCCATGTGGTGGGGGAGATTACCCTGATCAGTCTTGCCCAATCAGCGCTCATCTCTGAGCCTGGCCATTTGTGGGCCAAGCCTCCAAACTGCAAAACTATTTCATAATGGGAATGAGGTGGGAAAGATGATGCGGAGACAAACACAAGAATGGTTAACAAAAGTACAGCACTCAGACTTAAAGTGGAATTTTACTTGAAAAAAGAAACTTTCCTGTATTATAAAACAAAATTCAGCTGAGTAAATTTGAAGATCTAATTGGCTTTATTAAATGATTCATGAATCAAGCAGCACCTCATCTGGCAAGCAGAGAGATACTCTGAGGCATTACACAACATGGAGGGCTTTTATGATAAGAAGGTAAAACAAGGACAGGAAGTCATCAGCAAGGAAAAAGTGAGAGTTCACTGCAGGAAAGTAAAAGTTCAGGTGACCATGGCTTCTCATTGGCTGAGCTGCAGTTTTTTCCATTGGCTGGGCTTGTTGCTGGGCAGGAAGGAAATCTTCCTTCCTCCTGTCAGAGTAGTAAAGTAGTTGCACTTCCTGTTTGGGAGTGCAAGGTACAGTCTCTTTCTTTTGGGGTCATTAACTGAGATCTCCCTGTTGGGGTCTGTAATTGATGTCCTCCAGTTTGGGGTAATGGACCACAAATGGTAGGGCATGAAAGCTCCCTCTATGGGCCTTGGTACTCCAATTTTAGTTGAGGTTTCCTTTATTAATTTTAACAGTTCTCCCCTTTTGATCAAGATCTTTCTCTGAAAGCATCACTGATCAAGAGTCAGATTTTTCGAATTCAGTAGCCTTTATCCCTTGGTGCCAGGAAGGAGCTTTCCTGCGTGTCATGTCCCACATCAGAGGGGAAGTGCATGAACTACTTGAGGCCACATTTCATCAACAACGTAGGGTAGTAGGGGGAACTCTCAGGCATCTCTTATTCAAAGTCTATATTTTGTCAAGCTTGTAAGCATTGGAGATGATCTGGAAGTGCCAAGCTAACAATACCTTATTGGGATCTAGATATCCATGGGAAAGTGCGGATGAAGGGTGTGGGGTGTTATCTTTCCAGACCAATGTCAGAGTACAGGAAAGAAAGAAAAGAAGAAAGGGTTTCATGTTCAGTTGAAGTATTAAGTCTTGAGCGGAAACAGTCTACCTCAATGTTGGCTACTTCTAATCCCTGTCCATTTGATTTGGAGATTTCCAGTGTCGGTACAGGACCAGAAGTCAGGTGGAGCCTTCTTTAGCTGTGAGCTGTGTATCCAAAGCTCAATACCTTCTAGTTTTGCAGCAGTGTCAGTGGTCAGGAGTACTTGGTAAGGTCCCTTTCAGTGGGGCTCAAGGGCTGTCTTCCTCTGATGACATTTCCAAAATACCCAGTCACCAGGAGCAAGACTGTGACCAACAGGATCCTTTGAACTAGGCTCCAGGAAAGCTTCTTTGACCTGTTGATGATAGGCTTGGGCATAGGACCTTAAAGACTAACAGTAAGTGGTCATACTAGCATGAGACAACAAAGGATCAGCAGAGGGTTGTATACTAATAGACAGTGTTCTGTCGGTGACTCCCTCATGTGGAGTGAGTTTATGTTTCCCAAAGGATGGTGCTACAAACAGTCAACAAGCTCAGAGGCAATACCTTAGGCCAGGGGAGTCCCATAGTTTCAACAAGTTTGGAAATTTTAATTTTGAGGATCCCATTAGTTCTCTCGACCTTGCCTAATGACTGAGGATGGATAGGGACAGTGATAATTCCAAGAAGTTAGCAAGGTTTTCATTAAGGCTCGTATAATTTACCCAATGAAGTGAATGCCTCGATCACTGGAAATTGTGGGAGGTATACCTCAAGGAGGAAACACATTTTCTAAATTTCTTTGCCACCATGAGGGCATCAGCCTTGCAACAGGTTTCAACCCATGCAGAAAACATGCATACAGTAACAAGAATATAATGATAACCTGCACTAAGTGGCGGTTGAATGAAGTCTAGATGTAGATACTCAAAAGATCCAGAGGGAGGAGATCTGAGGCCTCTGGGGACAAAAATAGTTTTTCCAGGATTATGGACCTAGTAGGTCAGATATTGCAGGTAGACTGTATTTGCGATTTTGTAGAAGTCTCCCTACCAATGTCAATTCATAATTTCAGTCATCTTAAATGCACTATGATGGGTGAAGGAATGCAAAAACCAAAAAATAGGGTTTGCCACAGAGCTGGGAAGAACCAAGCGGCTGTCTTGGGTTTCCCATAGTCTCATCTGTTCATTTAATTTACAGCCATTGTTTATTCATCCTAATTTCTCTGACTTAGGAGCAGACTGCTGGCCATGTTACAAGGAGATTAAGATGGCAAAAGTCTGGCAACAAGGGGTCATTTTTTGCAAAAGCAGAAAGGATGTCATCCACATGTGCTACAATCTTTATAGATTCTGTTGCTGCTGTCTTTGCATGCAAGTCAGCCAGGGCAATTATATGGCCTGAACTAAAAGAGCCTGACTTATAGCCTGTCAAACATACCTTATACATCTGCTTTAACCATTAAGTTGAAGAATGCATTAAACATTATCTCAGGGCTGGCCCCGTGGCTTAGCGGTTAAGTGTGCGCGCTCTGCTGCTGGCGGCCCGGGTTCGGATCCCGGGCGCGCACCGATGCACCGCTTCTCCGGCCATGCTGAGGCCGCGTCCCACATACAGCCACTAGAAGGATGTGCAGCTATGACATACAACTATCTACTGGGACTTTGGGGGGAAAAATAAATAAATAAAATCTTTAAAAAAAAAACAAACCTTATCTCAAAGTAAAGGAATGCACTCTTTGAAGATAAGGATGCATACTTCCTTTCCTACCAGTATCGGTTATGCCAGTATCAGTACTCCTGAAGATAACTGAAGATAAGTTTCCTTTCCCAGACATCAGGGTCATGTTGACCTGCTAATCTGTAACTGACTATCTCTTTGAAACTCTATGAATATGTATCCTGGGCGTGTTTGATGTATGTTCTTTGTTCTAAAAAGTTATATAATTGCACTGAAAACCATGATTCTCCGGAACACTTTCTTCCTTTGTGAAGACTGCCTTCCTGGATTATAGTCTTCAGCCTGGCTCAAGTAAAATTCACCTTATCTCTCTTATCTATAGAATGGTTATTGGTTATTTGTGTTGACATTTCTTGGTGTAGCCAGCAGGATTTCAGAGAAACCTTCCTGAGACCATCTGGAATCTACTTTGAACTGGCACTTGGTACCAGCATGGGTCCATTGAATCCCTCCAGCTTCACTGCACTCTTCAGTTGCCTTGGTGAGTTCTCCTGAAATCTAGACATCCTTATTTAAGTCATAGGTTCTGACTTTTACTTTCGTTGTTTCAAGTCTTAAGTCTAGGGGTCTTAATGTGGTACCGGTACATATCCTAGGTAAGAGTAACCTAGGGGGAATTTCCTAGGCCAGGTGAGCCTAGGGGCAATTTTGAAGTGAACGGGACAGGCTGAACTTTTTAATTTCACTTTAAATTGGAAAGAATTGTGTCTATAAAGTCTGAACAAATTGTTTGGAAGAAAAATGAGAGACTGAACTCGTTCAGCTCCAAAGAGAAGAGACACCAGCTCCTTCCAGCCATAAGGTGTTTTCAGGTGACTGAGAACCCAGTGGAAGTGTCTGAGGTTGATCCTTGTGACATGCAGCAGTCCCATAGGGAATTGTACGATGATCTTTCACTTTCAGTAATTAACAGCTAGTCCAGGGGCACACACATAAGGATTGGTCATCCAGTGCTTTAAGCTCCCAAGGTAGTTTTAGACTGCTGGTGGGAGAAACTGAGACACATAAGAGAGTGCCTTTTAGGAAGTGGCGCTCACAAGCAGTACCCTTCTGACCCATTATACTGTCCTTAGAAATTGTTAAGACTTTATGGTAAAATGAAACTAAAAGAAAATGAGAAATCATGCTTCTAAGGCTGACCAGTTCCCAATTGGGCAGACCCCCCCAACCCCTAGAACTCTAGCTGGCTTCATGTACAATACATATGAAGCCGATACTTGCAAGTGCTTAACAAAATGGAGATAACTGTAAATGCCTGGATCTTTGGATCAAGATAACTTGGGATAATTTGAAATTACAGTGGCCACTTTGGGGCTTCTCTGAGCTTCCAAAACTTGTCATTTTGTGTACTAGATTTAAGATCTGCAGAAAAGACAGACTAAATACAGTCTTTAATCCGTAGGGAGTCAAGCACGCTAACTTCTGGCACAACTGCTCAGAAAGTACAGCTCCCTGCAGCTGTAAATATTTACAAAGAACAACAAAATCTTTCTAAGCTTGTTTTGTGTCCTGAAAGCTTGGCTTGATAATTGTCAGGTTGGAAGCCCCAAAATATGGTTGGACAAAAATGTGGTTGCACCCCATTTGCAGTCAGATGTGGTCAGACAGAAATGCAGGTTGCATTCCATTTGCATCTAGGGTCCTACCAAACTGCTGCCCGCCTCAAGGGGGTTACATTTGCCATTGGAAAGAACATTTCAATTAGACAAGGTCATTTAAGAAGTGCACTTAAAAGCAAAGGCTTCAAAATTCCTGAGGAGCCTTATTGAAAGTTTTGTTGCAAGAAGCTAATAAAATACTAAGTTATAAGAGGTACTTAAAGAAAAGTGGATTAAGTTATGGCTTTACAGATGCCCCCATAATCTACCTTTGGGGGAGGGACAAATATGAGCCCCTCTCAGAGTTAACAAGACTCTGAGAGATCTTCTGGGAAACTGCTACATTATTCCCTTAAACAGTCAAGGGAAAACTAAAGTTAAACATTAATGGAGTTATTTAATGCTGCCAGGAATAGTTACTGTTTGTCCCAGCTTAAACCTGACAAGATATTTGAAAGGATTTAGCAACTTATGATTGGAAATTTGGCCAAACTGGACGCTGATATTCAAAGCCTGGTAGGAATGTTTTTAGGCCTTCTTCTCTAAGTTGAGATAAAACTATGTACCCAGAAGGAAACAAGCAAATTAAGGACAATGTAATTGGATGGGTATGTCAGTCCTTTAATAAGCAACTAACTTTCCTTGTCTCAAAAAAACTTTTAACCTCTCTGACAGCTATTATCTGGACCATCCCATATTCCTGACACTGAAGGAAAAAGAGAAAAAGAAGCTTTTGGAGATGCAGACTGCTATAGAAGCACCCTTGCCCCAAAATCTAAGGAAAATGTTAAAAACACAGGCTATAAAATCTTTGCATCTATCTGTGTGTCTATGTGTGCACCTACATATGTATATTATAAATATGTAATATTTTTCTACCTCTGGATGGTGTTATTAAGAGAAGTGTATAAAAGGGAGATCTATTGAATTGGCTTAAAGTAAGTGCTTATATAAATTATTTCTAAATATAAAAAAACTTAACCCAAATGAATTTCAGGATGATGTGATCTAGGAAAATATTCAGTATTAAATGTTTTGTGCCACGATGAGAAATTTTCTATGAGGAAGCACATGCTTCTAGACAGTATTTGTGGGTCTGCCAATCCACAGGATACTAATGTAAAAGAATAAGGAAAACATCTCTGTATACAAGGAAAGTAAGATGTATGTCTTCAGTAAAGAAGGTATAAGGAATGGAGATATTTTGTTTTTTTTGTTAAGAAAGGTAAATTTGTCCTAAAGTACTAGGAAGGAAGGAATACATGGGACAAATTCTGAATATAAAAAAGAAAGTCATGGAAGGTTTGTGGAAGAGGAACCCTGGGGAAAGAGTTTTGTGCATGGTGAAATTGGCTAAGATTGAAATGAATTTAATGAATTTCAATATCAAAAGCAAGCTGGTACAAAAATTAGAATTTGATTTTTTCTCTCTTGACAGTTTTCTTGGACTTTCAGTCTGCTCGTGATTAAGAGAGTTAAGGTTTTTAAACATTTTTTTTGTGTGTGTGAGGAAGATTGGCCCTGAGTTAACATCCTTTGCCAATCTCCCTCTTTTTGCTGAGGAAGATTAGCCCTGAGCTAACATCTGTGCCCATCTTCCTTTATTTTGTATATGGGATGCCGCCGCAGCGTGACTTGATAAGTGGTGCATAGGTCCACACCTGGCATCCAAACCCATGAACCCCAGGCCGCCAAAGTGGAGTGCGTGAACTTAACTGCTATGCCCCAAAACTTTTTAACTCTTTGATTGCTTTTAACATCTTCTGTTGTCACTTTGGTTAAATGGATAACTAAGCATTGTTTCACAGTGATTTATGATCCTATTTGACCAAGCGTTTTAAAACCTTTAGATATTTTTGAAAAACTTCCCAAAATTCAAATCCTAAATAAAGTCTTTCTTTTGACCCGAAAGTAACTTTGAGAATTTCTAGCAGACCCCTGGGACTTCTCAAAGAATTTGCTCTCTCTTCCTATAAAGAGGGAGATAGTAAACTAATTAGATTTATTTGGTGTATTAAATTGCATGGGAAGCATTGTCAAATAAATGATGATAAACCTTCTCAGATTTATTGCATGGGTATATGTTATTAATGTAAATTTTCTAAAAATTACATAAAATTCCTAATATCTGATATGTCCTCATATAATTCTACTCATTATTTTAAAATGTGTGTTATAGAAATAACTAAATTTCCTTGTCAAGTGCATTGTAATCAAAGCTTTAACCATACCATTTTAAGTCTTTTGTCACTTACAGACAGTTATAGTTTTACTCTGATGCTTTTACAAATATGTTTCATCTTCAGAGTGATTCATGGCAAGGATTCTGACGTTTACTCCAGAACACAGGTTTCTGATGAACTTTCAGGTCCTAAAACTGAACTGGGTAGGAAATTACAGAACACTAACAGAGAAACTGATGGCTAAAACTGCTAACAAAAGAACAATTGACAGGATTTCTAGGACTGATACTGGATACGGCAGGAATTGGGTGCCTAACTTTTTGCTCATTGCTCAACCTTCATATATATTACTTAATATTACTACATTACCTGATCAGTCTGCTTTGATTGAATAGATCTTGCTTCCAGCACCACATGAGGAAAATTACCGTGACTGCATTTTATTAACAGTTTACCTTCCGACTCCTAGGAATGACCTACAAGAGACTCCTATTGATAATGTTGGTCTAATTTTGTTTACAGATAGGTCCTATTTAAAAGATGAGCAGGGACAATACCAGGCTGGATAGGAATAATATGCACAGTACGCTTCGGCCAAGCAGGCAGTTTGAGATACTTATCTGGTCCAGCTTTGAGAATACCCACTCCTGTCTGTTAGCCCTGCTAACCTAGTGAAAGATTTCCTTCTACAGGCTCAAGAAATTGCCATGGAAGAAGAGAAACAAATATGGCAACAAAAGGGGGAATTTTGACCCCACCACACAAATGTGGTTTGAATCTGATAAAAAAAAAAAAAAAACTATGGTATCTGTTGGAGAACAATTGCCATTACTCCAACATGTACATCATTTAACTCATTGGACACCTGAAAAGATGATTTTTTGGAGAAAACACTATTTTTGGAAACTTTCTCCCACAGTGGCTCGTAAACCATATGCTTGTTGTACTATATGTCCTAAGTATAATCCCAGGAAACCATGGGTTGCAAGGTGACTTTCCCCTTCCTAAGGGACCCTTTGAGGTATGGCAATTGGACTTTGTTCAAATGCCACCGTCTCAAGGATATAAATATATCTTAGTAATGATTTGTATGTTTTCACATTGGGTTGAGGTCTTGCCTTGCAGAAGAGTAACAGCTTTAAGAGAAGGTAAATTGTTATTGGAAAGGATAATTCCTGTTTTGGGAATTCCTACCAAGTTACCCCAGTGACCGGGAAACTCATTTCACCAGACAAGTAATTAAATCTATCTGTGACATTTGGCCAATAATACAGCACTTTCACTGGGCTTGTCATCCCCAGTCCTCAGGGTTAGTGGAAAGAAATAATGGCACTATCAAAACTCAATTAGCAAAACTTTGTGAAGCATTTAATATCTCACGGCCAAAAGCTCTTCTGCTAGTACTTCTCAATCATAGATCTGCACCTTTTGGTAAACATCAGCTGTCTCCTTTTGAAATAATAACAAGGTGACCCATGCAATTAGGTGAGGGAATGTATGAACCAACTTTGCTCAAGGGAGATACCTTACATTATTGTCAGGGTCTCATTGAGGCACTTAAAAGAAATGAAATGTTGGTAGCTGATTCCTTTCACAGTGAGCTCCTGGGACACAAGGACCTTAAGGATCATGGGCTACAACCTGTAGATTTTGTTTATTGGAAGAGGCATCAAATAAGAGACTCTTTGCAGCCCCATTCAAAAGGATCATATTGGGTAATTTTCTTTTTTCTTTTCTTTTTTTTTTTGTGAGGAGATCAGCCCTGTGCTAACATCTGCCAGTCCTCCTCTCTTTTTGCCGAGGAAGACTGGCCCTGGGCTAACATCTGTGCCCACCTTCCTCCACATTATATGGGACACCGCCACAGCATGGCTTGCCAAGCAGTGCGTCGGTGCATGCCCGGGATCTGAACCAGCGAGCCCCAGGCCGCCGCAGCGGAGCGTGCTCACTTAACCGCTTGTGCCACTGGGCTGGTCCCCATGTTGGGTACTTTTAACCAATCCATGCACTGCAAAATTAAATGGCATAGACTCATGGATTCACATTTCTCATTTGGAAGAGGTCTTATCACTGAGTGGATTTCAATTCCTGTTTCTGATAACCAACTCCAACTGACCAAGACAAATACTTCCAAACCAGGATGAAAAGAAAAGAGCATTTGTTGTAGATAGCTGTCCCCAGACTCTGGACCAGGCCTATATTTCCAAGCTTATATATCCTCATTTAAACTCTTGCAATGCATAAACTATATACCCACTTTATAATTGCAATTCCTCTTTTTTTTTTTTTTAATTTTTTTTGTGAGGAAGATCAGCCCTGAGCTAACATCCATGCTAATCCTCCTCTTTTTGCTGAGGAAGACCGGCTCTGAGCTAACATCTATTGTCAATCCTCCTCCTTTTTTTACCCCAAAGCCCCAGGAGATAGTTGTATGTTATAGTTGCACATCCTTCTAGTTGCTGTATGTGGGACGCGGCCTCAGCATGGCCGGAGAAGCGGTGTGTTGGTGCACGCCCGGGATCCGAACCCAGGCCACCAGTAGCGGAGCATGCGCACTTAACCGCTAAGCCACGGGGCCGGCCCGCAATTCCTATTTCTGTTACTCCTTGGAATTCTTATATTAATCATAATGTTCAAAATAATCACTGTTTTCTTTACACAGTGTTATAAGACTGGTATGCAGGCTAGAGTGGTGATTGCTCAATGACTTGAGATGGTCAATCGATCTTATAACTCTGGACGAATTTCTTTTCCTGATAAAGACTATGCCTAAGACTTATTCCTCTAAACTAATCATTTCAAGTATTAAATTTATTATCATTGTTGCTATATCTGTTCCATAATTATAATCAATATAATCATAAAAGTCATGTAAAAACACATATACAATGTTTGTGTGACAATCTAAAAATAATTGACAGGGCTGGCCCCGTGGCTTAGCGGTTAAGTGTGTGGGCTCCACTGCTGGTGGCCTGGGTTAGGATCCCGGGCGCGCACCGACACACCGCTTCTCCGGCCACGCTGAGGCTGTGTCCCACATACAGCAACTAGAAGGATGTGCAGCTATGACATACAACTATCTACTGGGGCTTTGGGGGGAAAATAAATAAATAAATAAAATTAAAAATAATTGACAAGTTATATAACCTATGAAATGCTTTCCCTGTCAATATATACCTCTATGCTTGTCTACTGTATCCAACTATTTCCCCTCTAATGTGGATAACTGGGCAAATCAGTGAAGTAAAAGCCTAGCAATGAGGGACATGATGGACCCAGGGCAGGCAGTAACCACCCTGGCACTGAGGAACAATATCTTGATCATCAATGCTTTCTATTGAAAGATTATCAATCAAAAGGGTAAAACGATAAGAAACTTTCACATATTGAGGTATATGGGGTAGCTATTCTGGTTTAAACTTTATTTGGCCTGAACTAAAAGAGCCTGACTTATAGCCTGTCAAACATACATTGTACACCTGGTTTAACCACTAAATTGAAGGATGCATTAAACATTATCTCAAAGTAAAAGAATGCACTCTTTGAAGATAAGGATGCATAATTCCTTTCCTACAACGTCTGTATCCAGTATCAGTACTCCTGAAGATAAGTGAAGATATGTTTCCTTTCCCAGACGTCAGGGTCATGTTGACCTGCTAATCTGTAACTGAATATCTCTTTGAATCTTTGATGAATATATATCCTGGGTGTGTTTGATGTATGTTCTTTGTTCTAAAAGGTATATAACAGCACTTAAAACCATGATTCTCCAGAATGCTTTCTTTCTTTGTGGAGACTTCCTTCCCAGATTACAGTCCTTAGCCTGGCTCAAGTAAAATTCACCTTATCTCTCTTATCTATATGGTTATTGATTATTTGCATTGGCAGGTATATCCCTGAGAACTTTAGAATACCCAATCCTTACAAGTGCTTGTCTTCAAACCAAGTAAATAAAACTCTTTTACAAATCAATTTTAGCAATACCATTCGGGGGTAGAAAAATATCTGATATTTCCAACACACACACACATATATGTATATGAACAAACACACAAACAAATGCAAACAGAGATCTAATAGTTTTTGTTTTTGCTAGTGTTTGTGGAGAGGACATTTAATACTTTTTTTATTAGCCCAATTTCTAAATACTTACCCCTATTCTGATGAGGAACATTTGCATTTCAAATAATGTTTTTTAGGTCCCAGAGAAGATAGGGATAAAAAATTTACATCACAAAGGCCCAGATTAAATGCAGGACAATTCTATTTCCAATGTCCTTATCTTTCTTAGCATTTTGAGTGGAATAGATGAGGTTTGGGAAACTAGCAAAAGACTGAGTAAACTTTGAACTTCTAGAGCCACACCTTTGGCCCTGCAGAGATTTGCAAGACAAAGACAGTTGTTTCAGGTTCCCCAAGAACTGGATCGCAGCCTGAATGTTAAAGAGGCTGATCTGCCCTTCCAAGTACCTTGCCTCCAATTTGCTTCTTTCCCTCTGGGTACATAGTTTTGTTTTAGCAAGGGGAGAAGGCCAAAAAAATATTCCTATCAGGCTCTGAATATCAGTTTCCAATTTGGCCAAATTTCTGATCACAAAGTTATTAAATCTTTTTAAATATCTTGTCAAGTTTCAGCCAGGACAAACAGTAAATATTTCTGGAAGATCAAATAACCCTATTAATTTTAACATTAGTTTCCTCTTGGCTCTTTAAGGGAGTAATGTAGCAGTTTACTGGGGAATTCCTCAGAGTCCATCAACTTTGGGAGGAGCCCATATGGGAGCCCTCCCCTGGAGGTAGATATGAGGGCATTGGAGAAGGATTTGCATAGGACCTTTAAAGGCAATCTCTTTTCCAGCATCCCAGTTGATCACAATTGGAACATCCATCTTTAGATCAGCATTTTTTTGATTATGGACCCCTAGGGGGGTTAAACTTGGGAGGCCTTCATGCTATTTTGGGTCTATGGCCTTGAAGCTGTTGTAACTATATAGCTATTAGCTTGGTGGATTTCTGTTTGTGATCTTGCTGCAAGGTTCTTTCAAAATGCTCAGCTATAGTCACAAGTTCAGTCATGCCTGTGGCCTCCCTAGGTTTAGGAAATTCTTTGACTATAGCTTCTCAGGGAAGAGGGAGAATCCCCCTCTGCCCTTTCCCTTAAGGTTCTTATGGCTGGCCAAATAATTAAAAAGACATGTTAGCAGGAGAAAATAATACCAAGTTTAATAACATGTATACATGGGAGAAACCAGGGAAACTGAGTTTCTCAACACAATGGCAGAGATTCTCATCTTAAATACTATCTTCAGCTAAAGACAAAGGAGGATGTTGGGGGTAGGGAGGGAGACAGAAAAGAGACAGAAATTACAGTAATCAAGGGTATGTAGATTTAAGGCCTTATCCTCCACACTGATAAGTTTCTAGAGAGGCCATCTCCCCTTCCCCCCAAAGAGGGAGATGCCTTTACAAATGGAGATTTCCTTTATAAATGTAAATGTTTGTCTGGCCACTCTTTGCAGAGCCACCTAGAGAATGTGGCCAGAGAGAGAGAGAATTTTTGATAAGATGGGCTTGTTGATGCCTTTCCTATTGTAACATCTATTTTACATTATATTACAGTCATCATATGATAGTAACTCCTTCCTGGAACAGGTCTTCTATGTTAAATTCTTTAGGCAGTTAGTGGAGGAGGTCAAATGTCCATCAGAGAAAACAATCAAGGTAAAGAGACATATTTCAGGGTGGCCAAATCTTGATCTCCCACAAGATCTTAGTTCAGTCTTTGACCTAGTGGTGAAGGACACCTGAGGGGGCTCATCTGCAGCCTCAGGTAGTTTTATTTTAAATGGTCATTGTTTAATAGTCTCTTTGGAGTAGAAAGGCAGTTTGGGAAGAGAATTATTAAAACATGAGTACTCCAGTGGAAAAGGACAAGGGGGAGCAATAGAAGTCATGTCCGTCATCATTTCTGCCCTATCCTCTTTTGTTTTAGGTATCTTTTGTTTCTTTAATGTTTCATTAGTCTTTTGTAATGAGTCTTTTAATGACGCTATTTTGGAATCTTTAAAGCTTTTGTAAGCTTCTGCCTACTGATTAAAGTAAAGATTCCATTCTGTCTGTTCTACCTGGGATCCCTTGCTCTCAAGTGTGTTTCTTAAATGAGCAATTTTATCTAATTGGAACATTCCCCATAATGGCATTGTAATTCTAGGCCATTTTTAGTAAAATTTTGCCATCTTTCTAGATAGCTACAGATTCTGGGACTGTAGTTCTTAAACATAAAAAAAGCAGGCTGAGAGGTGTTGCATTCAGTCATTCAATTCTTTGGACATAAATGTTCCTATTTCTTCAGCTAGTCTTTACTGCACACAAAAAAAGACAAACAAACCTGTGCACCTTAATATATAGGCATTAACCAAGAGATGTTACTGTGCCCTGGCACCTTAATATATCGGCAGTAACCAAGAGATGTTACTATGTGATAGCCAAAAGACAGCCTTGTATGCACCACCACCAATTCCTGTGGAACGTTGGACCAGGGATAAGAATTGAACCAGCAGCGCCAAGGAATGGGGCCTGCAGATTGATTACAAACAAAATGGAGAGCTGTAGCTTCTACCAATAGTTCCCAGCGTGGAATCTGGGGGCTTATTCCAAACAGAATCTGAGGACATAATTAAGGGCTGGGGTTTTCTACTCAAAAAATTGGCAGTAACCAAGAGATTTTACTGCACCCTGGGAATTACAGTCTGAAAGAAAAGCCCTATGAGGGAAAGCCAATTAGATTGGGAGCTCAAACACAAAGAGAGAGCAGATCTCGAACCAAGAGTAACTTACCAGCAGCCTATGATGAAAAAGATGATGAAATGATGAAAAAGACAGTGATCTCAAAAGGGTTCGTCGGCACCATGCCTGTGTTTCTTGTTGTCTCCAAATGTCATTGGAAATTTGCTTTGGATCCCATTACTGCCACCGATCTCTTAAAAAACAAAATTCAACTGAGTAAATGTGAAGATTTACTCCAATGTTTATTTTAGAAATATGTTAGTGTATAATACTAAATGTAATCCCCTACCATATGTGGTCAATTACCCCAAACAGGAAGACATCAGTTACTGACCCCAACATGAAGAGACACACCTGTCTACATCTTTTTCTTGGTGAGGAAAATTAGCCTTGAGCTAACATCCATTGCCAATCCTCTTCTTTTTGCTGAGGAAGATTGGCCCTGGGCTAACAACTGTGCCCATCCTCCTCTACTTGATGTGTGGGACACCTGCCACAGCATGGCTTGATAAGCAGTGTGTAGGCCCAGGCCCGGGATCTGAATCCATGACCCCTGGGCTGCCAAAGCGGAGTGCATGGAACTTAAGCACTACACCACCAGGCTGGCCCCTACATCTTTTTTTTTTTTAATTATTATTATTTATTTATTTTTTTGGTGACGAAAATTGGCCTTGAGCTAATATCTGTTGCCAATCTTCCTCTTTTTGCTTGAGGATGATTGTTACCTTGAGCTAACATCTGTGCCAATCTTCCTCTCTTTCGTATGTGGGATGCTGCCACAGCATGGCTTGATGAGCGATGTATGTAGGTCCACACACGGGATCCGAACCTGTCAACCCTGGGCCACAGAAGCAGAGTGTGCAAACTTAACCACCATGCCACCAGGCTGGCCCCAGTCTACACCTTTTTTTTCCCTCCTCCTCTGAAGGTTTGTATTTCAAATTTCACAATAATGTAGAATATGATTTCCTACACTCCATGTTGGTTGAGTTGGTCCTAGAGAATTTTGGTTGGATAGACGATACAGCTGCCTGTTTAGTGAGGTTATTGTCTTGAACATCCCCTGACAACACTCCTAACAGTGCACTGACAAACGAAAATAACAAATAATGTAAATCAATACCTTCTTCACACATTTTACATCCATCTCTCTAGGTATCAGTATTTTTCTGTTTGCTCCAAATCTACCAACTTCCTTTCTCAGAGGCAATGCTAGGCACTTTCCTTTCCTTCTACTATTTCTGATCAGTGATTATGAGTGATCTAGTCAGATTTCTCTTCAGTAATCAGAAAAAATCAGAGTGGCAGGTGTTGCCAAGGAAACCAGAGCCAATAGCTGTGAAAACTCTGGAAGGAACCACTTCCTCTGAGACAGATAAAATACACAGACTTATGGGGGGAGAGGGAAGAAAGATGTCAGGAGTGTAATGAGAGTACAAGTCAATATGACATGAAAAGGAAAAGATAAAGTACAACATTTATAAATGAAATTATTTTTAGATCACCAACAGAGGCTTAGAACAAGAGGTGGAACAGGGATATCAATGGGTTTTTCAGTGAAAGAAGAGGTTAAGACACAATAGGTAGATATGTAAGAGATTAAATGGAATAGATGGATAAAGGAAGTACTTGTGTTCATAGCTTCCTGGTTCTGTTCTATTTTGAATTACTTTATTGCCCAGAATGCATCCAGCTACTTGCCGTATTGATTAGCCTAAATATTCCTCAAGAGAACATCCAACTCAATATGTCCAATGTG